CATTCGTTCAACGAGGGCAACGTGTGCCTGTGCCCCCGCATACTCGTTCTCTGCCTTGGAAAACGTCTTCGTGATGACGAGATGGGAGATGTCAAGACGGTTCAATAGGAGATCGCGGATGGTCCCCTTCACAAATTCCACTGCGCTATCCACCGATCGCTGAATCAGGATTCTATTCAATACTCCTGAAATAACACTGGCCACAAGTGGACAATTATCACGTCGCACAGTCTCTATACCTTTCGCATCTAATTTATCGTACCGCTCTGTGTTTGTCCATAGCAGTCCTGCGTACCGCTTTTTGTTCATCAACAAGTAAGGAAAATATACCTTTTCAAACTCTAGCTTGATTGGATTCAAGAAGTGGCTTGATACTTCCTCCGCCGCCCCTTTGCCAAACGTCATTGCATACTCCAAGCGTTCTTTTTCGGTTCCTTTCTCGTCTGTCAAACACTTAATCATCACGGAGTCCGTATCACCATACACCACCTTCACACCCGGGTAGAGGGACTCCACGAGAAACTTGGTTTGATCAATCATCAACCGGCCATATGCGGTAACAGAAGAACTGACCTCCAAACACGGTAGTTTCCCTACTTGAGCCCCAGTAAACCCATAAACCGAGTTTGCGCTTATCTTAAGGGCCAATTGACGACCGTTCAAAACTTTATATTCAAGAGATTCCATGGGGACATCCTTCATCAACGATTTGGCACGTTTTCGAGCTGCAAGGAGGTCTTGCAACACTTCGGGAAGAATACCAGGAAATAGCTCCTTCTTAACAAAGGTGTCACCAGTGGGGGTGCGGCTCAACATTTCTGCTGGGTATCGCACAATATCGGACGGCCGCACCAACGTTGAGTAGCATAAATTATGGGCAATAATAATAGATGGATAGAGCGACGCAAAGTCAAGGGTGACGATAGGACAGTTGTAAAATCCCTTCAGAGGCTCAATAACGGTGGCACCCTCGTAGCCTCGCTGATCACCGCCGCCTCCAGAATATTCAACCGCCGGAACAAGGAGATCCTTCGCCTTAGCCTTGCGCAGCATCATCGAAAAAACCTTTATCTGCTGCCCACGTTCCAAGAGCCACTCAATCGGAACCCCCGTCACGCGTGCCATCTCAACATTATTTACAACTACCATCAGACGTTCCAAAAGTTTTACGGGTAGAAGAGCATCTTTCAAACAGTACACCGCCAGTCTTCGTCGTGTCTCTTCGCTTCCTTGCTGTAGGTCAGCAATAATGGAGTGATGCACATCTTCCTTTTGTTCACCCAAAAAGTGCTGTGACACCGCATTAAGTGAATATGAACGCAGTTTGTAGTCCCTTTGAATAACGACCATAACATCCAGAATAACCCGTCCCTCCAATGTCAGCTCAGTGTACTCACGGTTGCCCATTTGTTTAGACTGAAACTTTTTCTCCCGCGGAACTGTTCGCTCATTGATTTGACGGCCCCAGTAATGAAAGGCGTCGTTGGTCTTCAACGCCGCGCCGCGATTAAGAAGATACGGGAAATCAAAGTTGCTGATATTATACCCTGTAAAAATATCTGGATCGATCGCCTTGACAAATCGAACCCACTCCAGTAGCATTTCTTCCTCTGTTTCATACGAGCACACCCGTGCCCCAGCAATAGGCCCGCAGCTTTTAAGTGTAAAAATTGTTCGTGTGAGTGGCTCTGCCTCATTGCCATAGTTAATACAGTGATTTGCAATTTGAATAACAGGGTCGTCTTCAGGATCTGGAAAGAGGCCCTTCTTGCCCTGGCACTCAATATCAATGGAGAGAATACGAAACGGAGCGATCGACAAATATTGACCGACTGCGTCATGATTTTGCACCGCTTCGTGAGAGCAACACAGCTCAATTTGACAGGTTGATGTACGCTCTGTGGCAATGCAAAAACTGCCCACAGGAATCGTCAGCCAATTGCAACCACTAATGTCATTATCAACGATAAAACGTAATGGAAAAATAACATTGCTCTCATAGGTGGGAAACACACGAACACCATCCCACGCCCCTGCGCATGCAACCCCACGATCAGAAAGCAAAGTACGCAGCCTTGGAATATGCTGCGGGAGCTGTACGACAATCTTGAGGTGTTCTGTCAAGCCTTCACCCTGATAGTACATGATGCTCTGTCGGTTGTGCACCTCAATGCGCACTATAGTGTCTGAGGCATGTGTAAGGCTGTCAAGCTGGGCGTTTAGCTCAGCTTTGAGCAACTGCGAATACGCAGGGAGCCATCCTTTTGGGGCCTTGATCCACAGATACGGCTCGTAGTTGTAGCAATGCACCAGAACGCTATGCCCCTCTTTTGTAACGCCGTAAAGCCGGACAACCGGATTTTCCGCGTGCCGCACTCTGGAGACCGTCGGGTGAGCACTGCCTTTTGTTTGACAGCAGTCCAGAAGCTGGAAGAGCAGGTCGTGCTTCAAATATTCCGGTGGCAACTGCGGTCGGTATAGACTCTCCCACTGGCTCATCGAGGGGTTGCGCTTGAAGGTGGTGGCGCAAAAGGAAGCGCAGCAAAGAAGCCAAAATCACACGGCAGCTTTACAAATTAAAAAAAAAAAAAAAGGATGATGCCCCTCGTCAACGTCATGAGGGCAACATAAAACAGACACACATGCACGCAGAAAAAGGAATATAGATATAGATATAGATATAGATAGATAGATAGATTGACAAATACATATATATGACTGTGCTCATTTTGTTTTAGGACGGCATGCCACACCATAAAGCCGCACAAGCGCACGCCGAATCGCGTCGCGACTCTCTCCGCATGGCGCCACACGCTCAAGAATCGGCCAGGCGTTCTGATCGCGTCGAATCTGTCGCCGGTCAAGACACTCGCTTTCCATCACTTTTACCGCCAGTTGCCAATTTCCACTGAGTGCTAGTCGCTGGACAATAAAAGGCAATGTGTTCTTGTCCACCACGCGCGTGCGAATTCCCTCCGCAATGGCGCCTTGCAACTTTGCGTCACTACCTTGCACTGACTGCAGCCGTTCGCATAGCAGGCCGATTTCTCGGACGGGAAGTCGCTTCATCCTCTGTGCAGAAAAAAACGAAAAAGAAATGGAGGAAATCCACCCAGTATTCATTTAATCCGCAGACCGGCACACCTTAAAAAGCAAACAAATAAATGAAAATTTAAAAAGACCGCGCCACCTCCCCCAACTCTTTCAAACACCCTTCTCAAGAGCATTAAGTTTCTCGCGATTTCTGGAATACAACTCAAGTGGGAAGTCAGGAGCTACGTCGATCATATCCTCCGGAAACCAGTAGTCCAAAAATCTACGCAGAATCCAATCGGTAACACAAAGAAGCCAACATATAACTCCATACAGCAAGCCCACCGACGCGTAGTTCATCAAACGTTCATACATTGATGGTGTTGTTGTGTTAAAAATCCTATCGTATACTCGCTCCGTGCGTTCTGCTACCCAATCCCAACTGTAAAACCGTCTAACACTCTCGTGAATTTCCCATGGAGACAAATAGGGAACGCGAACAATAGCTTCTTCTAGCGCTGCCGTGATTGAAGCTGGGTCAGGTTCCGCTAGCAGCAGCATGTTTGGCGGCAGTACCTCAGGGACGCCCCCCACACGTGTTGATACACCCAGCATTCCGCATGACGCTGCCTCAATTAACGCGATGCAGAAAGCCTCTGTCAAGCTGCAATTCAAAAAAATCTGTCCTTGGTTTAGCACGCTCCGCACCTCAGAGTGCGCAAGCGATCCCAGCATTTTCACGCGGTCCATCAAGTTGTGACGCTCTATCATCTGCTGAATCTGTGATTTACGAGGGCCATCGCCGCCGATAATCCACTTGATTTCGGGATGCCTTTTGCATATCTCAGGAATAACATCAACAAAAAGATCCGAGCCTTTACGGTACACAAGACGAGCGATGACCACAATCGTTAATCCCTCCTTGTCGACCTTTGAGGCCCATGACTTGTATTTCATATCCTCTGGAGGAGCAAAGACCGAGGTATCTGTCGCATTAGGGATCACGCTGACCCGCTCCGGTTCTATTCTCGCTCTAAGAACGGTGTTCTCCTTCGAAGTATTGCTCACACATATTACCTGATCGACGTTGCGCAGGCTCCATTCCAATACTTTGTTAATATGAATTGAAGCAGCATCAGCGAAACCAAAAAGTGAATGATCCGTAAAACACGTCTTCAAGCCCAACGTGCCAGCATGAAAAAGGGCCTCGTGACACAAATTTGATGTCGTTTGATGACCGTGAACGACAGTAATCCGTTCGCGAATAAATACTGACCTCAGCAGCGGAAAGCTCAAAAACCACGTCGGGAGAGTCACTGATCCGGGAGGGAGCTTCACCGCCAACAAAGGCAAGTAATACACCTTCATACCATTGGTAAAATAGCGTACACCGCACCTGTCGCCGTATGCCCTGGTTATCACAACCACCTTGTGTCCTCTTCGCATCAGGCACTGGGCAACATTGTAGATGTGCACTTCCACCCCGCCAAACCCCGGGAAAAAAAAATCCGACACCAGTGCCACGCGGTGTCTTCCCATTGCTTCCTTTACCCTTGCCACCTACACACAAGCAATTCCAAGGAAAGAATAGCGTAGCGCCCTCCAAATTAACAGCCAACCCCTCGCAAGCCCAAGGGACATTGAGAGTCTAGTTAAGGAAAGAATAAAGTGGTGGAACAAAGGCAAAAACAGTAACTATGAACTATTATTCTCCAGCAACGGCAATCCTCCACGCATCTTTACTCTTCTTCAAATGCGGCGCCGAAATACCGTGCACTCAGTAATATATGGCAAATTACATAAATAAGGGAAAATGCCATTTTCACCCCACAATAAAAAAAGATATATTTACCTAATAGAAAAAAACCTTGAATCCCCGTAAGTTACGGAGTTCAAATACATATGGACTAAGCGCAGAACGCACAGGGACACCACGGCGCAGCGCCGGGGTGAATACAAAAAGAAATTTGAATTCCCCATAAGAACATAAAAGTTAATGCTAAAGGACAGCGCTTCTCGGAGAACAGCAGGTGGAGCAATAAAGATCGGCTCGTGTTTTTAAAGAGCAAGAGGGAAAATTGCCAGTAGCTGAAAAGACACCAGTCCAATCGCAGTTACAAGTTTAAAATATTTGATTGCGACCGTATCGCTCGTACCAACAGTGAAATACAGATCAAATTCTCTTTAGATGACACTCACCTTTGTCATCTTTAATTTTTAATCACCCTACCACAAAAAAAAAAGTAAAGCCGTCCTTTTATCCATTGAAGAATTCCACAAAGCGCGGATCAAATATGTGTGGCATCTCAAGAAAACTCTGGCGTTCGTCCCCTACACCATCACACAATGAAACTCTGTGAAAAAGAAAGGAAAAACGGTAGAGTAGCCGGTGGGCCGTGCAACTGCACTGTGTGCCTCTTTGTCCGCCACCGTACTGAATGCCCAATATTACCAGGAGGAAAGATAAACCAAAAAAAAAAATCATCAGAACCTCCTTGCACCTTGTTACTTACCAGGCTGTATGTCTACTTGAGTAAGACTCGCGGTGCAAAAAATAACTAAACAAATAGCTGGCAAGGGAAAGAAAAAAAGTAAAAGAGCAAAGAAAGCTGTAGGCGATGGATAAATGCAACCCGGCTGCACGACCCATGACCCCGCAGCAACAGGCGGTGGGCTTTGCGCGCAGCAGCTCTAGAAAAACAGGCAGCACAACACTGCGCAGTGATCCTCTTGACTCATGGGCCCAAAACTTTTCAGAAATGGGGAATCATCCATCTTAGTTAACAGCAGCGGCAGCCTAGTCGTCATCGTCCAAAAGACGCTGCAACACAATTTTCATAACCCGTTGTCAACCTTTCCTTTGCGCCTCAATCCATAACCCGTGTACGGTTTATCCTCTTGGACACAATTGCCGTGTATTTCCTTCGCATCAATGACTGAGCAAGATTGTAAATTTGAAAATCGTTTCACTACATTTTGGAAAGGTTTTAATTTTAAAAAATGGCGCAATTTAATTCTTAATTTCGAGCTTATCTGTTCCACAAAAAAAAAAAAAAAAAAAAAAAAAAAAACTCAGCTTATGTACTCCTTCTAATTATTTTAGATTTTCGGGTGAATTTGTGGTGGTTGCTATTTCTGTTAATGGTGCTCCAAGCCTTGCCCCGTTGGCCTTTTCCTGAATATTTTTTTTTTAATTTAAGTTTTCCCCGTGCTTTCTATACATAGACAGCATAGCGACAACGAAAAAAAGTAGTTTGATAAATTCAATGGATCCAAGGGTCAGGATTACTTTTCTTCATCAAGACGAGGCTCAGTATAATCCATTCGCTGAATAAGTCATTATATAATATATATGCAAGGCGAAATGCCAACTGTCTTCCCACATCTTGAAGAAATAATGGTATGCAATATAGTAGAATCACGCCGCTCCGGTTTTAGATTTGCTTTTCCTTTTCCTTCGCTAGTAGCAAGTCGTTGTAATCACAGTAGTGAACGTCGTTTTTATACTCCGGATGAAGATGTGCAATAGTTCTCCGCATGTGCTCCGCTGCCTCAACTGTGGGATAACACAGAAAGCATCGCCCACCATTTACCGCATCAACAAAGCAATCAAGAAAACCTTTTTGACTGGCAACGGACGCCAAAATTTCCTGACGAATTGTAGTTGGAATACCCAATAAATACAACACCAGACAGCCTTTGGGGGGGGATATCTCAGTATCCTGCGCATTAGAACAATTTGGCTGTATGTAGTTTTTTTGTTTCAAAAGCGCAACGGCCTCTTCGTGAATCCACGCAACTTTCTTGATTGGACTCTCCTGAGAAGAAATTAAAGCCCTCAAAGAACAGTAGCACAACTCTCTACTTGCTAAGTCACGGTGCTGTATAACACTCACGTAGTCTAAATTTTCCTTGAGATGATATGACAACATATCGTCAAGAATACCGTAGCATTCCACAATTCCGCGTAATTGTTGCGGTGTGAGTGTTTTCAAATGGTGGATCAACAAGCTATGAGAGGGTGCCAGTGACCTTTCTAAGGAGAACATTTTCATCTAATTTTAACAATAATAATAATAATAGTATAAAAAAGACAGAAAAAATGGCACAATTAAAAGAGAAAAAAAGAAAAAACTTCGGTGATTTGAAATATTCAAATATTATGTTTTAAATAAGCATATTTCTATAAAACTAACCACTAGAAAAATATAAAAAGGCTGACGACCTTTCAGACGAAACAGATTGCCAGTCTAGCCTAAACATGGCAAGACTATCAACGCCAAATCCAACAAAAAGTGTCGCAGAGCTACTTACTCGCATAGCCAGTTCGGCAAACCCAAAAAGTTCTGCTGTCCCTGCGCGTCCCTCAACTTGACATTGCAGCATCTCACCATCAACAAGAGCCGAGCCAGTGGTATTCGATGTTTTAAGCTCTATATATGATTGCAGGCTATCAAAGCGAAGTGCAATGGTACAATTGGCTTCCTGTGAGGTTGCAATAAACCTTACAATGTGGCAAAATGATTGAATGTCATGGATACGGTGAAGAAGTGTTATCTCGTGCTCTATGTTCAAAATCGGTCCAAGATCATGAAGAGCGCCAATTCTCGCCCAACGTTCGCATTCGTTTTCATATATAAAAACACTAGTAAGATCATGGCCTAATTCTAACGTTAGAGAATCACACCCTTCAAAAAGCCGTAGTGTCCGAAGCAACAAAGGACCATCGACCGCCCACGAAAAATCCTTTTTAACGCCCGTGATATTATCAGTTGCTGCTCCAGGCATCCCATCATTATCGAAAACCTCGATGACTATCTCCGAAAAACTGCATTCAGGAATATTAGTCCCTGACAAGCGCATTTCAGAAGAACCTGTTCGATTCGAAAAAATAATCTTTATAGTGCTACTCTGAATACAAAGGTACCTTAAACAACAACTGAGAGCCTTCACTGACGGAAAGGTGAAGGAAACTACTGAGGACCTCCCCATTGTGCTCTTCATAAGGCTTCCTAGGAAGTAAAATATAAAGGTCTTACACAAAATTAAAACAATATTTCACATTAAATTCGTAATAATCATACATTAATTCGTCGGTCAATTTTCACTTTGTATTATATCGCCGATCTCAACTCAAATCCTTTCAACAGCTTGGAAAGTGCTTGATCTGGACCTTCAAGTTCCGCCAGAAAAGCTACTTTTGCCTTCAACTCCTCACGCCCATTCTTAATTTCTTTTTCCCCAGTAGATATTTTCCAAGAGAGGTAGGTAACTGTGCGCTTATGCCCTAAATTAGACTTCACAAATACTCGACCACTACACAATAGCCACACATCGTCTGACGCGTTATAATTTCTGAGAACACGTTTCGCCTCTCTGTATTGATGCTGACGTTGATCAAGATCAATAAGGTACTGCTTGGCCTCGGCGATTTCTTCCACGGTATGCTCAAGGACTGCACCGCGCGTTGCATCACAATTCATAGCTAAAAAATCAGACTTGTGAAGCAAAATCCATTAGTTGAAGAAAAGGCTCAATAAAACGGTTTTATCCCAATTGAATTTTGGCGGGAAAAAAAAAGAACATACAAAGTTTTAATCAAAAACACAACAGGATTCCCAAACAAAAATATCCCTTACCACCATAGTAAAAAATTAAAATTGATTGTAATAAAAGTAAAATGTTCAGTTGTTTTTGACTTCACCACAGTCCGTTATAAGAATTGGTTGACGGGTGGCCCCTGAGCGGCTACCGTTGGCTTCGACTTTTTCAATTACTTCGTACCCTTTGGTAATCTGGCCAAAGACCACATGTTTTCCATCCAACCACTCCGTCGCTGCTGTGCAAATAAAAAACTGAGAACCATTGGTATTAGGCCCAGCATTTGCCATAGAAAGCGTACCAGGACCAAAGTGTTTCCCAGCTCTGCCAGCAAAAGACTCGTCAGGAAACTTCATTCCATAGATTGACTCACCCCCTGTGCCATTTCCATTCGTAAAATCCCCTCCCTGACACATAAACTGAGGAATAACGCGGTGAAACTTGCTCCCCTTATAACACAGCGCCTTTCCAGAACGCCCAACGCCCTTCTCACCAGTACATAACGCCCGAAAGTTTTCCGCAGTTTTTGGTACAGCATCCTTAAATAGCTCCATTTCAACCCGCCCTGCAGGTTGAGCTCCAATGGAAATTTCAAAAAAAACAAGTGGATTCTTTGGATTTATTGGATAAAAAGGCAGCCTTCTTTGCGCCCAAAACCATGTACGAGAAAACATAATTATTAAGCTTAAAATAATA